TAAATATATTTAATATAATTATAATGTAATATAAAGATATATTAAGTTATAATATAATATATAAATTTATAATTTAAAATTTAAAATTTTTAATTTATTATTTTAAATTTTAAATAATATTTATAATATAAATACAGATTTTATTATAAATATATTTATATTTAAATATTAAAATAACTATAAGTAATTAAGACTACTTATAGTTATAATTAATGCAATAATATTGTATTACATATAATATGCAATACAAATTATGTAAATAATAAATTGTGTGTTTAAAATTATATTTATACAAAACATAAATATCAAATTCCATTTTTGTTTATCACAAACTACATTAATTAAATAAATAAATAAATTTATAATAACATTAAGATTTTTTTGTGTGAAACAGAAGTTCATTTTTCAGATGAACCAACACGAAAATGGCACAAAGTTGCTTTGAGTCAAAAAAACCACTCCGAATGCAAAGGGTTAATACGATTTAAGATTAGTATTAATGAAAATATAAATCTTACTTGTTCTACTGATGATAAGAAATATCAAACTAATGGTGTACATTGGTCTTGGTGTTAAATTTAACCATTCTCCTACATAAGGAGCAATACTTCGAAAAATAAGATCAGCCGTAGCAATGACGCTCATAATAATTGCAATTTCATTAGTCGTTAAATTTCTATCAGCCAAAATGAACGGTGTCAATAATGAAAAATTGATTTCAGCGAATATTGCAATTGACATGCCCAACATTATATTGACATATATACCGTCACGTAAAATATCAAGACCATAAAAGATCACTATACGTTTTAGTATTCGTATAATGATTGATTTTTGTTTCGATCTGTTGGTATAAAACATATAACATAATTATAAATACCATTTTAATAAATTTTGAATGTTATATAAATAAATTAATTTTTAAAGGTTCAATCACATTTGACTTACGTTTCACAGATATCATCGTTTTGATTTTCAACTTTATTATCATTCATAGTCATTTCGTTTTTATTTGGTACAATGATATCATTTTCTGGTATACTTTGACAACTTTTTGCTTTTGATATTTTACTCATACTATTGAAACTTTTATTTTTTCGTAAAGGTTGGTAAATTGAATCCTCGTTGAAAATTTGTAAACTACTACTAAGATTGATACTGTTTAGGCTTTTATCTGAAAAAAAAAATTATATTATATACATATATAATTTATTATATTATTTATATATATTATATATTTATTATATATAATATTTATATTATAGTATAATATATAAATTATTTATATTACAATATAAATAATTAATTTTATATAATATATTACTATAATATATGGTATTATAATATAAATTATAATATGTTATTTATATATTTATTTAATATAATATTATTAATTTTTTAAAATTTATAAATTAAATTATAAATATAAATTTTTATAATTATTTATAAATATAATATATTAATTATAATATATTATAAAATATATTATTAGTGTATATAAAATTAATTTTATAATATATTATATTATAGATAAATTATATTATTTATATATACTATAATATACATATATAGATAATTACAGATTTTTAATTTAAAAAAATAGTAATAATATTTACTCGAATTCCACCAATAATGGTTCGGCTGAAAAATAGTTTTATTATTCAATTCGTTATTATTAATCCATGACCAACCATCTAAATTCATCTCTTGCGAAACAGCTAAAATAAAAAACCAAAAAAAGATATTTCAAAGTAATATACTGGAAAAATTTTCAAGTTAAATAAATAAATGTAAAATATATTATAGTTTTACAAACTTCTCGCAGTTTCTGAGGTTTGTCGTGACAATGGTGTTTCGAAACCATAGATGCTAACACCTTCAACATCGTGATTGACACTTGATACGGTTAATCTTCTATGTCTTTGATGTTCTTCCATTAATGGTGCATCATGAAAAGTATCATCGTCTTCTGATACTTCATTTTGTTTATCTGTATCTAATAAAATAATCAAATTTAAAAAATAAAAAATTAATCTTTAGAAATTAATTTATTCAACTAAAAAAAAAAAAAGAAACAAACGAATAATTACCAACATGTGATTCCTTTTCGATGATTTCAATAATATGTTTATCACTTTCTTCAACACTTGGTAATCTCTTCATATGCCATTTTATTGGATGTAACATTAACGATGCTAATATCGAATGTAATGAGTAAGAACCCAATACCAATAGAGTACCCTATTTAAAAATAAAAATAAAAATATCATATAATGTGTGTTTAAATAATATAAACATTGGTTATTGGACATTAAACAATAATTCTTGAAGAAAAGAGATACTGACCTATATTGATAAGTGTCATGTGGTATAAATTTATGAAGTTGTATGTTTATGCATGAGTATATTAGCTAACAGAGAACAAGAAGTTCCATATTGTATAATATTATAAAAATACAATATATTAAATTAAAATGACTAATATGAAAAAATATTTTTATAATCAACAATTGTCTTGATAAGGAAAAATGAAATACAAGAAATGGTCTTTGATATTTTACACAACGTTATCTAAAATAATACTATTAACTAATAAACAATAAAGGTAAAGGTATTGAAAGTTAAATAAAATAAATTAAATATTAAAATATTAAAATATTAAATTAAAATGATTAATACGAAAGATTAATTTTATAATAAATAATGTCTTAATAGAAAAAAAAAATAGAAAAAATGGTCTTCGATATTTTACACAACATTATCTAAAATAATACTATTAACTAATGAACAATAAAGGTAAAGGTATTGAAATTTAAATAAAATAAATTAAATATATTAAAATATTAAAATATTAAATTAAAATGATTAATACGAAAAAATATTTTTATAATAAATAATTTCTCAATAAGAAAAACAAAATACAAAAAATGGTCTTCGATATTTTATACAACGTTATCTAAAATAATAGTATAGACTAATAAACAATAAAGATAATGAACAATAAAGATAAAGGTATTGAAAGTTAAATAAAATCAAAAATGAAAAATTTGAAATACCTGAGGACCATAATTATCAAGTAAGATTGTGGTAACATATGGCATAAAAATTGAACCTAATCCCATCATAGTAATCGCCCAACCAGTTGCACGTCCTCTTTTCGTTGTGAAATAACTATTAAGTGCTAGAGAAAAACTTGATGATGCTATTGTCAATCCGAGAGCTTAAAAAAATTCAAAAAGAAAGTTAACATGATGAATTTGTTTAATGAAAAATAAAAAAAGAAAAATAATAATAATAAATTGCTTACATGCTATCAAACCATAAGTGATTATTATAAGAGTAAACGTTCTTGAAAATGCTGTAAGCGTTATACCAACAAAATATAATAATGAACCAACTATAGCCATTTTTCTATATCCAAAATGTTGAAGTAATGGACCATTGACTAAACCTAATATCATACCAAACGCCATATTTACGCTAATTATTGTACTACCTTCTGTATTGTTTATATTTAATAATGGAAACAAATCTTTGAACACTAAACCAGAACCTTGCATTACAGGTATCATTGCAAGCTACAAACAAACAAAATTATTCTAATAATTTAAAAATATTAATAATCTTATATATAATATTAATATATATATATTATAATATTAATAATTAATCTTATTTATTTTTAAATAAATTTTAGAAAATAATTATTTATAAAACTTACACTGTTAAGTGCATAAGACATGACGATTATCCATCCGAATCCTCCATCAGGTGGTACGAGTTTACCCATTTTTATTAATATTTAAACTTTTGACTTTTTTTTTAAATTTAAATTTTCAAATTAAATAATAATCCATTCTTAGTTGAAAATCAATCACGTGTTTTTTTTTGTTCACTCGCGTGTTTTTATATTTATCTTTATTTGTATTGATCGAAATATTTTTCTGATTAACAATCGGTCTCGAGTTTTATTTTCTTTTTTTTTGTTTTCTTTCAACTTTGTTGTTTTTCATTCTTTGAAACTTTTCATTTTCTTTTTTTTCTTTTTTTTTCTTTTTTTATGCACAATTTAAAAAAAAAAAAAGATTTATAACCAATAATACCGACCGATCTCGTGCATCGTTTTGCAATTATGTGTAATACACTTAGCAGACAGAGAATGATCAATAATTTCAATTGGTGTTCTGAGATAAGTAGGAACATAATCTAATCTCGATACAAAATATGTTCCGTCACTCTCGATAGAAGATTATCGTTAAATGACCTTCGAGAATAATGCTGGACAATAGTGATTAGAATAATAATAATAACAAAATAAATTATCATTTTTTATATACTAGTTTAGTATGAGAAACATGTAATACGTGTTTACGTGTATAAATTAAAATCGATTTATTAATAAAACGTGAATAAAAAGGCAAACTGTTTACATTCTACAATAAATGCGTGTTTAGTTGCATCGTTGCATCATTATAGGCGTATTATTGTTCTACGATTATACTAATTAAGTGTCAAAAATATGAGGTGGTGTAATTTCATTTCAAATTCAGTTTTTAAACATTTCACAACTTATTGTAATTATTTAAATATTAATAATTGTTAATAATAAGTATTGTATTATATAGAATAAATTAAAATATTCGGATAAATTCCAATTTAATTTTTAAATTAATTAAAAGTTATCACAATTATTTAATAAAATATATATTATATAATAATATATTTATTATATATTTTATTAATAAGTAAAATATATAATATATAATAATATATTTATTATACATTTTATTAATAAGTAAAATATATAATAT